CTGAAGACAAGAAAGCATTGGGGAAAATCAGAATACTTTGTTAAATTTCAGGGTTACCCTGAAAAATTTAATACTTGGGTTTCAAATTTGAAAATGATATAAAAACATGCGTACTGTATTTTACTTTTCATTTGAGCGAAAATGTCCTTCTACGTAACACTCATAAGCGATAGCTCTAGGAGATTTTTTCCAGACAATAAAATTTCTCGATTTATTACCCAACTACCGTCTCCTATTGATCTTAGTAATGGGGACTGGGAACTAGCTCTCCTAAATATTATTTACCCTCATTCATGGTATAATGTCGGAAAAGATAATAATTTATTTGGGTTTGCTGTTCACAATGGAGAACTGGAAGGACGGCATATTCCTCCTGGTTATTATGAAACGATACCGGACATATTAAAAGCTATGACTTTAGTTTCTCATAAAAACAAAATTGAATTTTCTTATCATAACATTACGAAAAGAGTAATGATAAAGACGGATGAACAATCAAAAGTGGTTCTTCACGGAGGACTAGCTGAGCTCTTAGGATTTGAACCGGGTGTTTACGAAGGAAGTGTCCAAAGTCCTTTCGTAGCGAATCCGAATGGTTTTTTCCCCGTTATGTATGTATACTGTGATTTAGTTGAACCACAAATCGTAGGTGACGTACAAGCCCCCCTTCTGAAAATTGTAACAGTGGAAGGGAAAGACGGAGAGATTATTGACAAACATTACTCTCGACCTTTTTATTTACCAGTGATTCGTCCAACATTTTCAAACGATTGAAATCGAAATAAGGTCTCATTCGGGGAGTCTGGTGCCGTTTGAAAGAGGTAAAGTTTTCATAGTGCTCCACTTTCGTTTGAGACAAATTCTATAAAAAGCTTTACCAAAAGAAAAAATTATTCATTCATAGTGTAAACGTTCTAAAAGCTGTATCAAAAATGCTCATTCCATATGCTTGTTGCACCAAACACTTTGAGGATTATTATGTGGGACAAACTGGAAAAGGTCTGCCGTATTATCAGGGAATGGTTTTACAGAAAGGATACGGAATAGGTGGATTTTTTGCGAAACTTTTCCGTAGTGCCATGCCATTTTTAATTAAGGGAGCAAAAACTGTTGGAAAAGAAGCTCTACGTGCAGGAACGCAAATTGCAAACGATGTGATATCAGGAGAAAATTTTAAATCAGCCTTTAAAACCAGATCTAAAGAAAGTGGAAAAAAATTAGCAAGGAAAGCAGTTCAAAAAGCAGATGAGATGATTGGTCACGGAAAGTTTAAAAGGAAACGCAAATCTCCCAAACGCTTCATTTCGTCTAAAGCCAGGAAAGTGCAAAGACGTGACATTTTCAACTCATAATGGCTTTCCTCTTAAAAGATTCTCCAGAATGCGCCAAATCTGAACTCGATTTATTTACATTACCTCCAACCCAAACAGTTATAGAAAGAGGACAATGGATAGAATTTCATCCCCTTGCGAATGTGTCGGATGGAAGTCCTGTCGAATTCAATGTCGCGGGTAGTGGCGATGACTATTTGGATTTATCTCAAACTCAGTTATACGTCAAAGTTAAAATTTTGAAAAGCAATGGCGGCTCTCTCGGAAAAGATGATAAAGTGGGACCCGTGAATTTGTTTCTGCACTCCCTCTTTTCTCAAGTTGATATAAGCTTAAATGAAAGACTTATTTCCTCCAGCAATAACACGTACCCTTACAGAGCCATCATAGAAAAATTACTTAATCATGGTTTTGATACGAAAACTTCTCAATTATCATCAGAATTATATTTTAAAGATACAGCAGGCCGTATGAATGTTTTTGATACTGCGGATAAGCAACCTAATGAGGGATTCAATAAAAGAGCAGAAGAATTTAAACTTAGTGCTACAGTGGATATGATTGGACGGCTACATCTAGATATGTTTCATCAAGAAAGACTTTTGTTGAACATGGTCGATATGAAAATTAAACTTATCCGCAGCAAACCGGAATTTTGTTTACTGGGGGAGGGGAATTTTAAAGTGTCATTGGAACATGCCTCATTATTTGTACGCAAAGTTCGAGTCAGTCCAGGTGTAATTTTAGGGCATGCAAAAAGTTTAGAAAAAGCGACAGCGAAATATCCTATCAACCGAGTGCTTTGCAAAGTGTATTCCATTCCATCAGGAAATATGAGTTTTGTTCAAGATAGTATTTTTACGGGCCAGATGCCTAAACGCTTAATTGTTGCTTGTGTCGATAATGATGCTTTCAACGGAAACTATAAAAAATCTCCCTTCGAATTTAAGCACAATCATATCAATTTTATTGGCATTTACGTAGATGGGCAACCTATGCCTCACAATCCTCTTCAACCTGATTTCATGAATAAAACCTTTATTCGTGCTTATCAGAATTTATTTGCCAATGCAGAAAACCGAGGATTGTATCTTTCGAGATCAGAGTATCCAGAAGGATACTGCTTATTTCTTTTCGATCTATCACCTGACTTGTGTGATGGTTCTCACTTGAATTTAGTCCGTCATAGTAATTTGAGACTGGAGGTAAAATTCGGTTTCCCTCTGCCAATAACAACATCGTTAATAGTCTATGCAGAATTTGAAAACTTAATAGAAATCAATAAATCTAGAAATATTATCTACGATTTTGGTAACTAATGAATTCTTCAGAAATTCATAGAATACTCTCTCATGACAAATGGACAGCAAAGTACTACACTGGAGTTTTCCCTTCAGATAAAATCCCAGATGTTCATCGTTTCCCAGCAGCTATTGTAGTCAACACTGATAAACACAACGAGAAAGGGACGCACTGGCTGGCTTTCTTCATTGAAAATAATCAGACTTTAGAATTTTTCGATTCTTATGGACTTCCTCCCATGACTTATGGTGATGACATAGCAAAATTTACTAGCAAGTTTAACTGTGTGACATGGAATCAAGTTTCTCTTCAGAGTGTAACATCAAATGTTTGTGGACAATATTGTACTTATTATTTGTTAAAACGATGTCAAGGATTATGTTTGGAATCAATTGTATCTAATCTTTCTGTAAGAAATAGCGATTTTCATGTATTTCATTTTGTGAAGAAAAGGTATGGTGTAAAAATGATTTTTAAGAAATAAAATATTAATTTGCTTGGAATTTTAGTTTTGTCTTTCTTATTAATAAAGTGCAATTTACAATTTTCTTAAATAACTTTTCTTTTACCTTTTAGTTATAGAATAAATTTTAAAGGTTTCATTTAAGCTTAAAAATTATTTTCCATTGTAAATTACTGGAAAAAAAAAAAAAAGATTTATTTTACTCATGACATCTGCACATTTTTTAAGGAAAAAAAACTTACCTTTAAAAAAAAAATCTGGATCATTTTTTTTCAACCTGAAATTAAAAAATATTTTTTTCACACATAAAAACACACCAAATTTAACTAATATATCTTTCTTTTTATTTAATATTTTATCCAAGAAGTTGAATACAATTTTCTTTTCTTTTTTACACATTTAGGTTTAGCATACATTGTAAACAGATACTTGTTTTTTACAAACTCCCTGGGAAAATCTACAACATCTAAGAATTTTTTAAACTCTTCATAACCTACAGGCTTGGTCTGTTGATTTCTTAACAAATAATTCACCAAGTCTTGAACATTAGAATTATTAATTTTAACTTGGTTCATGATTAATTCTTTAGATGGAGTCCATGTAATAATATCATTGTGAAGTTTTAAAAAGTCTATAATTCTTTTGGCAATGTTCTTAAATTTCACTGGAGCGGAATTCACAATTTCTTCTTCCATGGTAAACTTTTTCTCTTCTTCTTTGCTAAGCTGAACACTTTCTTGTGTTTCTGATTTTAATTGGGGAAATGTTACATATTTTTGAAGTATTTGAAGGTATTGCTTGGCTTTTTCATCTTCGGATAACTTCTCGTTTAAAATGGTGCTCATTTGCTGATCTAAATCTGATAAATGGTTTTCAGCAAATTCTAATTCTCGATCCGAGGGTACAAGGATAAATTTACGAGCGAACTCCATTAATTAATGTGCTCAGTACAGAAACTGCGGCAGGAATGAGCAACGAAAGAAATCCATCACCTTTTTGTACCAATAGTCTCCGTTTTTTAAATAAGGGTATCTTTTTATCACCTAATGTACGCAAAGTCCGTTTATATACGGCCAGTTTACGTTTCTGTCTTTTAGACAAAGGAACGTTACCCTGTAATACATTTAAAGCACATTCACATACACTTTTAATAACACTATTGGGACATTTTCTTAAAAGAGTTTTTTTTTTTACTTTACTTTTGCCTAGGAGTTTAAGATGTTCCAGGCTCGACATCTGGACCTCAAATGATTGGTACTTTAACAATTCCTTCTCTTTTATAAAGGTCGCATAAGCAACCGCTTTTTGTGCAGATCTTATATTTTAGGACATTTTTTAAATAATCTAATTTTCAAAAAAAAAAAAAAAAAAAAAAAAAAAAAAATTTCGGTTTGGCAAATTTTATTCTTTTACAATGTAAAAGAGAGTTTTAAATTTTAAAAAACCTACAAATTAAATCACTGAAGGAGAAAACTTGTTGAGTGCAACAGCAACTAACGGAGTTCATAAACAAAATGCTTATCTGAAGGGAAAATGCCTGTACGTAACCTTAACATTTCTTGGGTTCTGGTCTGGTCTTAAATCTATTAATAAATAACTGTAAGGGTTTGAAGTTGCATCCTGGAAGACTTCCTGAAAAGCCTTTGTTTTCCCGGGGAACATCTGCCTTGCCAAATGTACGACTTGACATTTATCTCTAGGATTTTTGAACAGTATCATGTAATGACAATTCAAATGAATGGTTCGCATCTCTTTACCCTGCTGAAATAAATTTTGAACGATAAATATTATAGAAAGATTTCGGTGATGGCTTCCTTTCGTAAAAAGTTTACTTAAACGAGTATCGCTCGCTAACTCAGACATTAAATCATCAATGATAATTAGTGCATTTTGCAGGGAATTGAGGTTCGATGGTAGTCCTTCTTCAAACTGCACATTTTTCATTTTACTAAAAATAGGTTGATATGCTCCATAGCAATAAATTATACGCTGAGGCATAGGAGAAAGCAGACCTTCTTCGATGACTCGTTTCACAAAAATATGTCTTACCGGATCCTGTCGGACCGCTGATGAGAGATGTGTGGAAGGGTGTTTCAACACAGGCCACTCCATTTTGTGGGGTACTGATGATCTTCAGAAATGTGTGAAGCTTTATATACTCCTCTCGTTTAAGAAAAGGCTAAGAAAAAAAAAAGAAAAAAAAGTCAACCACACAATTTTAAAATTTTACTGCAAAATATAATTTTTTTAACATTAATTCAACAATAACCCTGCAATGAAATAAAATAAATGAGATGCATACCACTTAAAATCCATAGGGAACAGTAGTTAGATCTTCTTTTAGGACTCTTTTGTTGTAAACAATTTTGTACAGTTTTGTTTCTGCCTTAGTTAAAACTTTCCTCTTTTTGGCATCTTTCATGATTTTATGTTCATCGTACATGGCGATTGTTGTTTTTCGATCCATCGAGCACACTAAATTCTTAATCTCCAAAAAATTTAAAATCTGTTGATTTTTGAAGTTGAGGGAGAAACCTCGAACTTTACAGCAAGTCATTCCTCGGTCTGTTACATAAGCGTAATTTTTAGGGCCCTCCTGAATGGGGGAAAAAATATGCTACAGAAACTACAAGAAAGAATAAAAGATCAACCTAATAAAAAATAAAAATAAAAATGAAGCTCACCAGAGACAAATGTAGTAATAGTATCTCCATTGAGTTCATCTGTAAAATCCCCCAAAAAATTACCAAGAGGCGGATCGTTGGTAAAATCGCTTGCGTATATAATTGAATCCGTGTCATGATACAACACAGCACGGCCCAACTTCTCCATTTCACTGTAAAGCTTTAACCGTGCCCATGCAGTAGTAAAAGCTGCCAAGAACACATTTGTGGATGTGTCCTGTGGAACAAAATAATGTTTATAGTCCCATTGCACAGCAGCTACTTCAGGAGTCGGAAAATATAAGTCTTTGATCTGGAGGAAAAGTTAGCAGGTTGCAAGATTAATCATTTAAAAATATACATCTTAATTTACATTAGAAAATAAAATTACAAAACTTACATTTTTTGTTGGATCTGCTAATAATTTATTGAAATCAGGTAATGTATGAACATAAGTCAAACGTATCTTGTTCAGGTTCATTCCCCATCTTTAAAGAAAAAAAATATATAAGAAAAGAATGAGCATTTTTTTTAAGAAATAATAAATGATATAAAGATGTGAAACAACTCTTTCTATTAAAAACATTATAATAATTATTTACCGCCCCCAGAAGCTGTTCAAAGCCAATTTGGCTACTTGCCGTCTTCCAGGATTCTTCTTAATATTAAATTCATCAAGCTGCACACCCTCTCGCTCAAAATAGGCTTCAATGTAGCGTTTTCGTTCGGTCGAGCTTACACAATCGGCTGGCCAGCCGCTGCTTTCTTGTTTTATTTTTAAAAACAAGTTGATATAAGATTGAAATAGAGTATCCGTAAATTGAGAAAAATGTTACACTTCATAAATCTGAAAAAAAAAAAAAAAAAAAAGATAGTGGGAATATGAATATAATAATATACAATAAAAATACATGCTGTGACATTTATAACACATTCAATAATACTAATAATTACCCAAAATACTTACCTTTGTTATACAGTAACCTTTTTTCACTGCTAATTTGACTTCTTCAGTCACCCATGTGCCAATGATGGCTCTCTCATCATCTGAGTGCTGGCAAATGCCTTGATACATTAATTCAGCACAAGTCTTGCAGAGGGGAAACATCAGTTTATTTTTGTGCTCTGTACGGCAATACGGGGAGGTATAAACCTCGAGGAGGCAGTATTCGGCACTTTATAATACCGAAATAGTTTTCCAAGGCATCAAAATTTTCAGTAATAATATTAGGGTGTCCGACGGGGTACAAACAGTATTTATTGACCTAGGAAAAATTGAAAAAATATGAATAATCGGAAAAGCGATTTTCTTTTTAAATAAGACATGCGCGTTTAATAAGATTATTTTATGCCAAAACACAGAAAAAAAAAGTATTTACCCATGGATACAGTGAAGTGAAATCCACATACTTTGCATCACCCTCATAATACAGCTGAATGGCATTTGTCCGCCCGCCGAAGAAAGCATCTTTAGGATTCAATCGATCCTGAAGCTCGTGACTTAGAAGAAAATATTTTACTTTTTCATCTGTTTTCTTTTTCATCTCAAACTCATGCTCCCACATTTCAATTACATTATACCCTCGATCACGTAGCTGGTAAGTCTTGTCTACCGTTTGTTGTCGCAATGTCGACATGGGTAATTTTGTTATGGGGTGGAGTGCATCTCCGTCAAAACAGTGTGGGAGCAACCGTGAAAGAAACATCCCTGCGATAGTTAAAAATTTTTTCGTATAATACCAATAAATAAATAAATTAAATAATATATTTATAAATAAATAAATATTGAACTCTTACGTAGTATTGATAAACAGTATTTGTTTCTTTGCAATATCCGTCTACAGATATACCATCCAATCGTCTTTCTCCTTTTCCGTTCAAAGCGTGTTCGATTTCAATGCTCTCTTTTTGGGCAATAAAATCAAGCCAACGAATACAGTCAGGACTATGATTCGTGCGATTGATATAACCTCCTACAGGTATCATTGCGATGGTATTAGGTATTATGTGTCGGGATCTGTAAACCGCCATACACGCTGATGCAATGGTTATGTAACTGAAAATAAAACGGACAAGAAAAGTGTAAATCATATATATACATAAAGTATACATGCACGTATACAATACGTTGTTACAAAATGACAAAACCATGTAAAAGAAAAGGTTTGTAAAATACCAAAAGGGGTCTACTCCTGTAATTTCTAAAAACTGATTTCTAAATTCAACGCAACATCTACGAAGGATATCAACATCTGATCTGAAAACGAAAAGAGTAAATAAATAAATAAAACATGGTACCAAAAAAAAAATACACCTAAAAGACGGATCATAATGAAGGATTAGAAATAGATTGTTGATACAAACCGGCAATACGTGAGAATTTCTTCTTGGAAATCAAATATATCCTTCTCGTGTTCTTTATGCCATTCCAAAAAGGAGGTTCGCACCGCACTAGTCATACAATCAGGATTGTAGTACTTAGGCTCAGGTAAAAATCCCACATAATTTTGATTTTCTTTCTTGTTGAAAAGGTGCGGAAAATATCCTTTTTTTAGTTCTGTAAGGCCGAAACAAGCAGGCAGCTTTGAGAGAGCCATCGGCAGGAAATTAAAAGAATCAATAAGTTTTATGTTGAGGGCGGTATGGGTGATTACCATCACTTTAGAGCCATTAGGGATTACTTCAGGTGCCGTACCCTGTTCTAAAAGCCATGCCATTATAAACTGACCGTCAAATCTGTAAAGAAAAAAAAAAATTATTATATTTTAAAAAATGTATTATATTTTAAAACAATAGCCCTATAATATATATATGCAGATTAAAAATAATAAGAATACATTTACCCCTTCATATTGTGTGCAATAACAGTGTAATTTTTGTGCACTGTTGTAAACAGCCAAGAGCAGAATTCATGAAATGATTTGTATCCTTTAAATACTTTCTCTTGGCCATCTTTGTACTGCGCTACAGCAAAGTTTACGATGTGTTTCCCCTGATGATTGGTCAGTTTCGAAATCAAAGAAAATTAATTTATCGGATGGACTTTTCGCAGAAATGAGTTGTAAGAAACAATGATGTTCTGACGCTATAACATACTCTTTACACGAAGGGCATTTGATAGTCCCGCAACGATGTGTAAAATTTTAGGACACTGCCGTCGCATGATAACTTTTGAGCATTGTCTGCACTGATACATCTGTAATTAGGAAAAAAAAAGTAGAACACAGATTTTTTAAAAATATATTTAGAAAAAAAAAAAAAGTTTTCAAAATGTAAGTATTAAAAACTTTTTTTTTTCCCTAGTTGAGTAATACTTACCCTATCGCATACTGAATGCTCTTGTCTACCTGTGACGGCTTTATGCGCTGCAAAGCAGTCCTCAGATTGACAGAGGCGATCACAATCTTTACATCTTTTAGGCAATGCTGGAACGCATTGAAATCTTAGGCAGACATGGCACATATTGTCACACCTGTGATCTTCTGGACGGTCATATGGCTTTTCACAATTTTCGCAATAGTTTTTCGAACCATAAAAACCGTGTAAATTTGTAATGACATCAAAATGGCCATTGTGTTGCCACAAATTAATGCGACGAGTTCGATATCTTCCTTTATACGAGACCTAGAAATAAACAGTTTATAAATATAATTTCATTTTACATTTTTTTTTTTTCAATTTAATTAATTTTTTTTTGTTTAAAATCTTTGGCTTACTTTATTTAAATTTTCACTGCTTATTACTACGATTTGTATATTTAGATGATTTTCAAATGTGCAGATTTCAGTGTATGTACAAGGACCAAGAGGAACTCCAGCACACTTGTGTAATTCTTGAGCTCGTAGCATTAGAACAGATCGTCTCCGATCCCGTAGAGAATTAAGCGCTGACTTGTCTTGCTCAAGATAAGCTAGGGCATATACGATTGCTTTTGCGCAACACAACCCTTCATCATCTGACGGGATGGAAAGGACAGAGCGTTTTTTAAGACGATCTACTTGAATGTTGATTATCTTTGCTCTACCCTGCACCGATATCCCTGCGAATCGTGATCACATCTACTAGGAAGCCTGAATCCAGCCGAATTTCATCTTTTGACTGCAGAACTTTCATAATAACCGATAATACGGTCTCCTCCACCGTCATGGAAGATACGGCAATAATTTTCGTAGACATGGGTTTATCCAATCCATCGGCTTGGATACACATTCGTATCCAATCTGTCGGCCTTAGATTTTCTGTTGACCGTTGAATTAATATTTCAAACAGCTGTCTAACAGATTCAGTTACGGCTAGAAGAGGCCTGTTGCGAATATTTTGAGGCAGACGATTCATATCAACACGTGCCTGGAAGGTTATTTTCCTCGCCTTGATACTTTCGGTTACGACGCCGTGCCTTCTCTTTGAGTATAATAGCATTTTCCATCTGGAAAGAAAAGAACATAATTCAGTGTAAATGAAAATAAGCACACACGCAAACACACCATAAGCCCTAAAACAGGAGAAAAACTCACATTTACTGAAATGTCATGTTCCACATATGCAGGTCCTTTAGATGGAGCAGAAGGTTGAGTCTAAAAGATGTATAGACATCACAGTGATATGAAAAACATAACAAACATAGAAAAACATAAAAAACATAGAAAAAAATAATTCTCATATATATTTATATATATATTAAAAACTGATATTACCTCATATCCCGAGCCTACTTGATAGTAAAGAGGCAAAACCAAAGGATTCTCCAAAAATATCTGCGAAGTTTCACTTAAGAGCTAAAGAAAAGTAACAGTTGTGTTTAAAGAAATTTAGGTTCAGCTTATATAAAAAAAAAAAAAAAAAAAAAAAAAAAAAAAAAAATTAATGACAGGAAAAAAAAAAAAAAAAAAAACTACGTACTTCATCTCCTGAATCACTAAAATAATTTTCAATGCCGTCAATAGGATTTTCGATGAATATTTGAGATGTTTCACTCAGGCACTAAATAAATTAAAAATAGTGAATAGTCTTTTTCTAGGTGGGGCAAAAAACTATACATTGTAAAAATAAGCCACAGAAGGAAATAAATAAAACTAGCTTACCTCATCATCAGAATCTCTTAAAAGCGCATGGAAATCCTCACACTACAAAATAATAGTATTTTTAATCATGTAAGTATTACAAACACGTGGTCAAAGAACAATTGAAAATAATATGGCGATATAACTGTTTTGAAACGTTAATATTACAAACACGTGTTTCAACAAAACAGGGTAAAATATAATAAAAAAATCTAAGCCGTGTAAATAAAAACACATAAATAAAATTTAGCTTACTTGATCATTAGAATCTCTTACAGATACATCGGAATCCTCACACTACAAAAAATTTTAATTGCGTGTCAGTATTACAGGCACGTGGTCAAAGAAAAAAAACAAAACACTAAAAAAAATATAAAATTAAACACATAATAACCTTAATACATTTTATATATAAATAAAATAAAAATAATAAAAATTTTAAATATGAATACTTACTTGATCAAAAAAGGGTTCCAAAGAACGTTTACTGTTTCTTGAAGCCATTTTCGCAGATACGAAGAGAATTTCTTGTTTTTTTCAAAAAGCGTGGTAACAAACTTCTAGAATTTAGCAAGTAATGAATTTCGGAGGCAATCCAGCGGTTGAAACTCGGCTCCGAACTTTTTACTTTGTCTGAATACGCGGATTGGTTAAGAGGGCATGACATCATTTTTCTGCTTTTTCTGATTGGTCCACAGAAATGTATTCGTTCACCTACGCGGATGTCTACACAAAAGGGAGTGAAAAGGCAGACGCCATTTCCCAACCAAATCATGCACAAACATGATAAGGGTGACGTCATTTACCCACAAAGAAAATTCTTCAAAATGGCGGCTATAGAGGAAATCCAAGATGGCGGAGCACGGAAAAACCTTATGCAGATAATTAAGAACCATATCAACCAAGGAATTGTGGGGTATCGCTTAAAGACTTGGATGCGGTCCCCCTCAATCCCTTTTTATTAATTATTGGGTGGTAGCGAAGTTCGTAATCCCCGTTTGAAAAGGAAAATATATTACATTTTCATATTATTTTTTTTTTACGATCCTGTTACTTTTAGATGATGTTCTGGACGCTAGATGGCGCCAGCAGTAACATAGCTTCAAGAAAATCAGTACAGATGTTCAAAAATATCATTTTAACTCTTTCCCTGCAGATAATAAATAATTTTAAAAAATTTCTTCCATTCGAAAATAATATCACCCACTTAGAAGAAAAAAAAATTCATTTGATAAATTGAAAATATTAATTAAAAATTAAGCACAAAATAATCTTTATAATATCTTAAAGAAGGTAATCAATGTTCGAAAAAAAATTAAGAAATTAAAATATATGTCTTCTACCCCTCTTTCATCGTTTAAAAGAAACTTTTCGATCGGTAAACTCGTTGAACGCTTTGCCTTTTTTTTTTTTTGTAAGTACGAATTTTTTTAGTCTTCTGTGGTAACAAAAGCGTGGCTCAGTGGTTAAAGCGCGTAGCTGGAGATCTCGACATCGTGGGTTCGGGCCCACGCAATTTTTAAAACTGTCATGAAGGGCAGCATAAATCACCGTACAAAACAAAATGGCCGATGTTCTCCAAAGACCACGTGATTAATAATTAATTAGGTAAGTTAAATAAATAATTAATTAAATCCTTCATAAATACTTACCGAATAAAATTAATGAATGCCTCGGCGATTCAGCACGCACGGCATGGCGGGAAAAGGATGAGTCATTCCAAAGGAACACCACGTGATCCAATATGGCGGCGGGACGTCCCATGATCCAATCCATGGGCGGAGGCCACGCCCCCCGTTGCGTCATCCTTTGTTCTATTACGTCATGACGGCATCCTTTTGCCGCATATAGTGGGGGGTATACTACTTCTATGTAGATGATTGTTTATCTGGAGCAAACAGTTTAGAGGAAGCAGTTGACCTATGCTCTAAGCTTTCACAGCTATTACAGAAACGTGGATTTAATTTAAGGAAATGGAGATAAAACTGCTCAAAGCTTCTCGAAAATTTATCCATTGATAATCATGAAGAAGGTGACCTGAAAGTTCACTCAGATGAATGTGCCAAGACTTTAGGGCTGTTTTGGAACTCTACAGAAGACGTATTTTTATTTAACATCTCTATGGATTTTGGGACTGAAATTACTAAAAGAAGGTTCATTTCTCAATCTTCTAAAATCTTTGATCCTCTTGGCTTGCTGTCACCATGTACAGTCAAGTTGAAAATGTTTTATCAGCAGTTGTGGTTTTTAAAACTTGACTGGGATGCCCCACTGCCTAAAGAATGGGAAGAGAAGTTGCAGCGACTTCAAGAAGATCTTAAGGCTCTCAAAAATGTTAAAAATTTCGAGGTGGCTTCAAACTACGTCTAACCATATCTATCTGCATGGTTTTTGTGACGCGTCAGAATCTGCTTACGCTGCTGTTATCTACTGTGTTCAACCAACATCTCACGACAGAAATGAAGTCAATTTGGTGGTTGCTAAAACCAAAATTGCTCCCATTAAACAAGTGTCCATACCTAGACTGGAACTCCTAGGTGCATTGCTCCTTGCCAGATTAATCAAAGCTGTCCGTAAAGCCTTCTCCACCACTGAAATTTCCTTTCACGCTTGGACTGACTCTAAGGTTGTTCTCTGTTGGTTAGCAGCTCATCCTCGAAAATGGAAACTTTTTGTGGCAAACAGGACTTTAAACAGAAATATTAGATGCTATTCCCTATCAACAGTGGAGCTATATTTCGTCGAAACAGAATCCTTCCTATCTTCCTTCTAGAGGAATCGATCCTAAAGTTTTACCGAACATATCCCTATGGTGGCATGGGCCATCATTCTTAGCGTTCGACAGTTCAAAGTGGCCTCTACAATGTTCTGTCAGTAATGAGACTAACAGTGATGCAACTGTCTTAACTGAACAAAGGACAAAATCAATTTTTTGTACAACAGCTTATTTTTTTGTACGACAGCTTATCCAGTTTGTGCACTTCCATAAAGATATAAAGGATCTCAAAAATAATTCATCTTTAAGTCCTAAAAGTGTTTTAAGCTCACTTTTTCCTTTTCCAGATGATGATGGTGTTTTACGGGTGGGAGGTAGGCTGCAAAATTCTGACTTGTCATGTTATTACTAGCATCCCAGAACAGGATTTTTCTAATATTCTCAAACCCACTTTATTAAAACGATGGGAATTATTACAGCAAATGAAACAAGGCTTTTGGAAGAGATATTATAAGGAGTATTTAAATTCCTTACAACAAAGATACAAATGGAAGCAACAACTTCCAAATTTGTCTGTAGGTGATATTGTATTAATTAAGGAGGACAACATGCCTCCTGGTGTTTGACTAATGATACTCTGGACAATTTATTTCAGAACTGTTCTTCTTTATCTAAAATAGTTAATGTAATTTCTTTTTGTTTAAGATTTATTTCTAGGTGCAAAGAACGGGTCTTTGGTTCTGAAGATAATAGGTTAAAAAGTCCTGCAGTAGTACCTTCATCTAATGAAAGGCAAGCAGCTATGAAGTTGATCATTAAATGGATCCAGTTTGTGCACTTCCATAAAGATATAAAGGATCTCAAAAATAATTCATCTTTAAGTCCTAAAAGTGTTTTAAGCTCACTTTTTCCTTTTCCAGATGATGATGGTGTTTTACGGGTGGGAGGTAGGCTGCAAAATTCTGACTTGTCATGTTATTACTAGCATCCCAGAACAGGATTTTTCTAATATTCTCAAACCCACTTTATTAAAACGATGGGAATTATTACAGCAAATGAAACAAGGCTTTTGGAAGAGATATTATAAGGAGTATTTAAATTCCTTACAACAAAGATACAAATGGAAGCAACAACTTCCAAATTTGTCTGTAGGTGATATTGTATTAATTAAGGAGGACAACATGCCTCCTGGTGTTTTGGCCTTTAGGTCGCATTGTTGAAATCCATCCAGGAAAGGATGGCAATGTTAGAGTTGTTACAGTAAAAACTGTTCATGGTTATTTTAAAAGACCTATAGTAAAACTTTTACCATTGCCATTGCATCGGGAATGATCTATTGTTAATGCAATGGCAAGGGTGGGAGTTAATGTTGGATGCATATTTAATATTTGCATTTCTTTTTTTTTCTTTGTATATTTTATGTCCTCCTCACTGCTTAATTTTATGTTATGATTTTTGCAATAATCTTGTTACTGGCAACGTGCTTTATTTTACTATAAAGTTTGTGTGAATGGCAACAGTTGTTCATGTTTATGTTTCAGTAGAATAGTGTTCTTAGCCGCACTGCGCTGCATGCAATTTTTCTCTTAAATATTTCTTCTTTTAGAATAGCAATAAAGTTTATTATACAAAGCTGATGCTTTTTAGTTCAAGGCAACTACCCTCTTTCTTTTAACGTTAAACGAATACATACTTTCTGACTGGCGGTAGATGAAAAATAATTTGATTCTATTTATTTCTTTTGGATAAATTGTGTTTAGTCTTAATTGGTGGCTGAGGAAACATTTATTACAGTGCTGACATTTTTATTATGTATTATAATGTTGTGTAATTAGAAACTTCATTTTTTTTAATTTACCAAAGTCATTTTGTATTAACTTAGTTCAGAGATTTTCACCCCTTGCCCTCTTTCCTTCAGCGGAAATTCTTATCAGCAGTTGTACTGCACCCCAAAATTCCTTTCTGCTAAGCGTTCCACCATGTGTGGGGGGGCGAAAGTGCTTGATAGTTTTACCATCTGGGTTTCACGAAAAGGGGACCCTGTTTTGCTGGACCAGGCTAGCAGGGTGATGTTCTACAGCATACTTATGGTGGGGGAAAATATACGTTGAGACAGAAGATCTGCATTATCGACTGGGACCCTGGAGCGAGGCTAGTTTTCTTTCCCCCTTTCCCCTGTTTCCGCCTGCAGTTGTGATGACACATTGGTGTGGCCTTGGAAGTTGAACGATGGAATGGATGGTGAGAAAACGGCTCCTTTTGGTAGTCGGGAAACCCTTTCCCGTGAAGATCCAGAGTGTGGGTTGCCTTTTTTTTGGCTTCCTGCTAGTCAACCATCTACGCCAAGTTTTCAAAAAACGCGCCAGCTACTAAAACGGCTGCGCAGTGTTTTTCGAGAGTCGGGAGACGGGGACAGTGACGGAGACGACAGAAGAGAGACGGAAAAAAGAAATTTCACGAGAACTTATAAGATGACAACTTGGACGAGCAGCTCGGAGGTGAGCCTCATCTTAGACGTAGCAACGTAAATTAGCCAACACCGAAGAGAGGCTGCAACACCTATATTTCTAAAATCCTAAAATTTACGCTGTCATGATGGCCTATGGAGGGACAGAGATTGTAACAGAGAATTTTCGTCTGATAAACTTGTAGGGTTTATATTTATTTTAACTATCATTTATTTTAAGTTATCTTTCATGCCAATGCTAGAGTATGTAAATTGTAGTAGCGCGCAGTATATTCAAATTTAGCGGAAGTAAGTGGAGTTTAAATAGAAGGGAAACGAGATTGTAGGTGTGCTACTTGAATCGCGAACGTGAATATTGCTTGGTAA